TTTGAAATATCATATATTTTGGCTGCAAGTTGAGCTGTATATCTGACAACTTCACAGAACTCTGGTAGTGCTTTCTTGGACTTCTGGAATTGATTTACGATCCTCTCCTTGCAGAGACTCTTAGAAAAGTTGAAAAATCACAAAAAGAAAAAAGGCGCCTACAAGTTCACTATCTATCACCAGAAAGTCAAAATGAATTCATCCTATGTTGTGCATAAAAATGACAGACGTGATTTTGAATGAAAGAGCGGAAACGATATTACTCCATTATCGTTGATGCAACGCCAGACTCTTCACACGTAGAACAAACTGTCTTTATTTTGCGTTATGTTCACGTGGACAGTGATACAAATGTCTACAAAGTAGAAGAGAAATTTCTTAAATGTCTAGATTGTCAAAAGAAAACAGGAAAATATGTCGCTAAAATTATTCTTGATACACTGAATGAAAAAAACAACAACATTCCAATTACAGACTGCCGAGGCCAAGGCTACGACAACGGTAGCAACATGTATGATCTGTCTGTCTAATGGAGTACAGGCTCACATTTTAAGACAGTGTTCACTTGCCACATACTCTCCCTGTGGCTGTCTTAGTTTGAATTTATGAGCTGTGCATTCTGCAGAAAGCTGTTCAACAGTCATAACTTTCTTTGGAGTTGTTCAGAAGCTGTATAACATTTTAAGCTCCAGTCCACGAAAGTGGGAAATTTTGAAGCAAAACATTCCCAGCTCTTTGCACAGTATGTCTCAGACACGTTGGTCAGCACGTGTTGACAGTGTCAGCCTTTTGCGACTCACATCTAGGGGACTGAGGAAAGCTGTTCAAACTGTTCTTTTAATGAACCTCCCCCCAGAAACACTTTTAGATTTGATTGGTATTCTTAAGTACTTTGCATCGTAATTTGAATGTGTGATAATGTTTGGCTGTTTGGCTCAAAATCCTCCCAGCAATCGATCACAGAAATAGAGTGCTTCAAGCACGAGATGCGACACTTGACGTTGAGGTGGCAAATATCAATAGTCTGATTAAAGATTTGAAAAGCTTACGAGATGAATGGGACGCAATCTTGAGTGAGTCCAAATTAGTAGCAGATAACTATGAGATTGAGCATTCATTCGCCAACAAAAGAAAAGGAAGCTTTTTACAGACGAGGCAGAAGATGTAACAGACAGTTGCGCAAGCTGAAGCTTCCTTCAGTACCCTTTCTTGGGTGAAAAACATTTTGCGGCCCACAATGTGTCGAGACAGACTCACAAGTCTTGGAACTTTGGCCATAGAGGCCAGTCTAGAGCGAAAACTGGGACTACGAACCAATAATTGACAGTTTTGCTAGAGCTAAATCCCATAGGCTCCGTTGTAGTAAGAAAAAAAGGTGAGCTACATTACAATTTATTTTAATTTTTGTTATTGGTTTATTCATCTTACCTTCATTTTGAACTACCCGGTAAATCAGAAAAATAAAAATTTTATGTTGACAACACCCAGCACTTGATGGAGGGGGACGAGACAAAGGAGGCTGGGGTGTGTGTGCAGGGGGGGGGGGGTGGGGGGCGGGGGATTAGCTTTTATACAAACATCTCTTTCGCAAAATGCATTTCCAAGTAGTGAAGATGTGTGTGTAAGAGACAGACTGACAGGCAGCCTGAGAGAGAGAGAGAGAGAGAGAGAGAGAGAGAGAGAGAGAGAGAGAGAGAGAGAGAGAGAGAGATATAGATATAGATATATAGATATATATATATATATATAGGGATAGATAGAGAGAGAGAGAGAGAGAGAGAGAGAGAGAGAGAGAGAGAGAGAGAGAGAGCGTATGTTGGTATGTAATAGATATGCTACAGTAAAGTGACTATATGCCTATGTACATTGTATTTGTCTGGTTATTAAATTGCAGGTGAGGGTGGGTGAGACCGGGGGGAAGAGGGGCCCGAAGGTGATTGCTGCCCCAGGGCCCGACCTGGCTCTCGACGGCCCAGTCTGGGGGGGGGGGGGGGGTGATGGTGGAGTGCTCCTTTCTGATAAGATGAAAGGGATTTGGGGTCAGTAAGTTACAATATACAATACACGTTTACGGGAGAACGCTGCCCACTTCCTTGGTCACATGTAGGTATGATGTTGGTCTATGGCCCGTCATAGATAGTACATAACAAGATGGTTAACTCAGCCAAAAAAGTGTCCGCGGAAGTCCGCTCATTGCTTCAGATGGCGCGGCAGTCTTTGCTTTGAAACTCTCTTTCGTTTCTCCAGAAGAAAAATAGGAAAAGCACCCCCTTGTGTGCGCAGATTGACTGCTGTTCGTCCGCTGTTCGGATTCGTTGAGTGCGGAGTTCTAGTTTTTATATTTTAATGACATCTCGCCTCTCATTCTAAAGTCAAATTAAACGAAGAAAACAGTCACCTCTTTCACCGGATGAGGTTTTTTTTTGTCAGCGTAACCATTAAAAAAGCGTTCTGCCGATATTTGAATTCTAATTTATTTTAAAGAACTTGTTAAAGGTAACTCTGTTCACAAAGGGTGCCCTTTTTCGAAGAGGGCGCCACCGGATCTTAAGGACGTTCTTTTTTTAATGGGCTCAAAGAGAGGAGTGAACTATCCTGTTATGTACTATCTTTGTGGCCCGCGCAACACAGAACGTTTAAATAGCCCATGTTCCCTAATTCCCCTTTAGAGATTCGAACGAACCAGATCCATAGTTCTATAGGATTCCGGCTGAGTGATCGCAGCATACTGGGTGCTCAAGATACTTGTATCTATATCCACCCACGCTAATAAACACATGAGTAATAAGCTCTAAGAAACTTTTATCACTTTCTGTCTCCCTCCATCGATGGTAATGGTAACTTTTCCGTCATCAGAAATAAGTTAACGGGAGAAAACTTCTTCCAAGTAGATATTTTTTTAAGCGTTTGATGAACTGCCAAAAGCCATGGTTGAAAAGACACGGTGTCTTTTCTGCAGGAGTTAACATTATGGCTAAGGTGTTAACTGTCTGCCTATCAGTATAATAGGTTAGGGACTGTGTCATTTTTCTCTACAAACCGTAATATTTTTAACCATTATTTTATGTATTGGTAAATAATCATCTTTATATCTTACGGAAACAACAATTGTCTTCCTGTTTCAGGTACGCTGAAAGAGAGAGGTATGTTAACCTGGAGGTCAGAGGTCACATCCAATGACAAGGGCGAAATGGTGGCCGAGAACAGGTGTGACGACAAAGGTCAGAGTCACATCTACGACATCCCGTTCCTGCAAAAGTACATTGACCGAATTCCGGCCTGCCGTTACGTGCCTGTCTTCGTCACCAAAAGTGCGAGTGGAGAAGAAACGGGCGCCATGACTCTTGAAAAGAAAGAAAAGAACGATATTGTGTGAGGACCAAGAGACACATTGAAAGAAAAGACTATTTTGCACATCTTTTTAAATGTAAATGTATCTGACAAAGGAATGCACAAAGACATACTCATACTTGCCTTCTCTAAGGTACAAAGGGGAAAACATTTAATCAATAAGCTTATTCAGAAACACACCTGGATGCGCCATTGCTGTGTGTGTGGGTTTTTTTTAGCTGAGTCAATAAGGACAAACCGAATCGCTACTATCTTACATTTTTATTTGACATTGAGACTGTATAGCAC